AGAGGAAAGGAGGGGAGAGGAGAGGAGAAGAAGAGAGGAAGAGGGGGGAGGAAGGGAGGAGAGAAGAGAGGAAAGGAGAGGAAGAGAGAAGAGAGAGCGGAGAGGAAGAGGGGAGAGGAGAAGAGAGGAAAGGAGAGGAGAGGAGAAGAGAGGAAAGGAGGGGAAGAGAGAGCGGAGAGGAAGAGGGGAGAGGAAGAGAGGAGAGGAGCAGAGAGGAAGGGAGGAGAGAAGAAGAGAGGAAAGGAGAGGCAGAAAGAAGAAGAAGAAGAGGAGAGAAAGAGGGGAGAGGAAGAAGAGAGGAAGAGAGGAGAGGAGAGGAGAAGAAGAGAGGAGAGAAAGAGGGGAGAGGAGCAGAGAGGAAGGGAGGAGAGAGGAAGAGGAGAGGAAGAGAGAAGGCCGTGCGATCACCAGGAACAGGGATAATTCCACTCACTTCCAAGCCATTCCGGGGCAACGTGGCATGAAAAGGCAGCCGTGGCTGAAAGGCCACTTTCTCCACGGTCACTGGGGGGGGGGGGGGGGGGGGGGGGGGCCCGCCCCGCCCGGGCCCAAGCCCAAGCCCCCCGGCCCCCCCCCCCCCAGTTTCCCTCTGGGGAAAGGAGGACGTAAATCCAGAGCTCCGTCCATCGCTTGGGATCCAAATTAAAAAATGGACCTCACTCCATCCTCCAACGCCCGGCATCTCGGGGGGGGGGGGGGGGAGGGCGGCTGGGGGGGGGGCTTTAGACGGGGGGGGACTCTGCTCCCCGGGGGGAAGACCCTGGCACCCCAATCCTGCCCACGGAGGTGGAACAGCAGCAGAGAACACCCCAACAACGGGGTGGGTGAGTGGAGGCAGAGACTTCCTGCTGATGGACCCCCGTAGGGAGGAGCAGCGTCTGTGTGGAAATAGGAGACCCCCCCCACCCCACCCCCACCCCCACTTTGGGTTCCTGGTGATCAGGAGGGGCTCGGAGGGGTGGAGAAAGGAGTCCAGAAAGGAAAGCCAGGACAGAAACAAGACTCCAAGCCAACAGCGACTGCATTCCGATCCTCTCCGTGCCAAAAAGGCTCGCACAAAGAGCTTCGTGTTTTTCCCTCTCCCCCCCCCCCCCCCCCCCCCCCCCCCCCCCCCCCC